ATATCATCTTGTGCTAGTTTATATATCCTTGCATATAATTTTATCATATAGGATATATTCTTTTTGCTCATATTATTTATCCTAGCTTACATATCTTATTGTATTTCGTTATTGCTAGGATAACTTTGTTATAATTTTTAATTAGTATTTAAATCGGATTAGATTAGCATAAGACCCTAATCACCCCCCTCTAGGGTCTAACAATTGGTATCAGAGCTTGGTGCTCTTTGATTTAAGGACTAATTGCCTTGAGTTAAAGATCCAAGTTATCTTTTTGTGCTAATCTAATTTTTGATTTTTGTATCTTGCTTGCATATATACATTATGGATTTGAATGATGCATCTTATTTAGGTTATGCCATCAATATTGCTCCTAGATTAGATAATTTTCCTTATGCCCAATGGTGTGTTAGATTTAAACTTTTTGTTCAATCTAAACACTTTGATTTATGGGAAATTATAGATGATGTTTATATTGTGCCCACTACGGAGAAATCCAAGTGGAATAAAAATGATCATCGTATGTTTACAATGAACAATATTTTGTTAGAATATTTGCTAAATGCTCTTGATTCATCTATGTCTAACAAGTTTGTTCATTTTGATAGTGCTTACACCTTATGGAAATTTATTGAAGCACATCAAGGAGACTTGGAGGCGATCCGACAAGCTTAATTTGGAGGATCCCACTTCAAGTTCAAAAGGAATGTCATGCACACGTGCACTAGGCGATAGCCCTAGTGATGTTTGCGAGTTCGAATCTATTAATGATTTACCTAATGATGAACTTGCTTGTGCTAGTGAAAGATTATTGCATGCCTACAAGAAATTGCAAAATGATTTTATTGATTTAAAAAACAAGCATGAGGATTTAAAATCTGATCATGAGTTGTTAGCATCTAAGTTTGAAACTATTTCTAATGAAAATGTGATCCTTAAAGAAAACAATGAAAAATTAAAATTGGATCATATTTTTTTAACTTCAAATGTTGCTAGTTTAACTCATGAAAGAGATAATGGCATGTTAGAAGTAGAGAACATACAAAATGATACTGCTTCTTTTATAAATGACTATTTATGTTCTACTTCTAATAAAAATGCATATGTGCCTAAAAATAAAGATTTGAATCTTATGAATAAATACATTTCATTTTTAGATTCAACTTTAAAAACGTGCATTAATAATCATAAGAGGCTTATGGATATGTGTGCCAAATCTAAGTCATCATCCACTCATTATGCACACATATATAGCAAAGTTTACAAATGCTCTAATTGCGGCCGAAAAGGTCATTTATCAAAATTTTGCTATGATGCACACAAACATAAAAATGTCAATGCTCCTTGTGCATCTCATGTAGATTCTTCATCACATGTACACACACATGCACCCATTGTTCATCATAAGCATGCTCATGTGTATAGATGTGATCATTGTGGTCGTTTTGGTCATTTGGCCAAATATTGTTTTGATTTGCAAAATAAATCTCATTTGCCAAATGCTGCTAGTAGACCACATTCTATTAAATGTGATATTTGTGGTAGGTTTGGACATCTTGCTAAATTTTGTTTTGATATGCAAAAAGCTTCTAAGTTGCAATATGTTCCAAATAGACCATTGTTTAAGAATGTTTCTCATTTACAAAATAATTTTAAAAGAAAATCTTTATTTGCAAATGATTCCCGTGCACGAGCTAATGGTCCACAAAAACAAATGGATCTCTTTCATTGCACAAATTACAATCGGAAGGGTCATTTGAGTGATTATCGTTTTGACCGTGTTAGTGCACTACATGCGCCCAAGAGGGTTCATAACCCTAGGGTTTTGAGCTTAAAAGATAGGGGTCATGTCCCTAAATCTCTTGGTACCAAGAATTCTTGGGTACCAAAATAAATTTGATTTTTAAAACCAAGTATTTTAGTGTTGTTCTTTTTCCTTTTCTTGGTTTTGAAAAATTATACTTTTGAACATGAAAACAATTTTTTTATTGATCAAATTCTTTTGTTTTGATGAGAGGTTTGTGTTTATATAACCCTCCGAATTTATTGGGTGTTTATTCCCAAATCTTGTTTATCGGGTGCTAAAATGTTTATATGGGTTGATACTAGCTCAAGAGCTAGATATATTTGCCTCTCTTGATTTTTGAATCAATGATGATTTGATTTTACGTTTTTGGATTTAAACTTTGATTTATGATTTCTTTTAGTTGATTTGTTTTTATTTGAAAACTTTTTGCATGATTCTCATGTTCCTCTTCTTTTGATTTCATAAATCTATTCATTTATATGGTTTTTATATTTTTTGTGTTAATAAGACACTTCTTTCATATTAACATATTTATATGTGTTCTCATTATCTTTTTTGTATGTGAGTTATGTTTAGCATGTTTTTAATCTATGCTTTCTCACATATGTATGCCTTAGCATTCATTTCATACATTCACGAGGCATTTAGATAGGGGGAGCAATCCCTATTTTTTTTATACTCACCCATGCTTATTGATAGGGGGAGCTTTCGCTCTCTTCATTCTTTTGTCCCCTTTTTTGATGTTGTCAAAGGGGGAGAAATATTATGAGTATATTCATCCTTGTTTATATGCATGATATATTATACTTTGTATATTCATTTCCTTTCATGCATATATCCTTTTTGTAAATTGTTTGTCATCATCAAAAAGAGGGAGATTGTTGTCCTTCTTGTTTTGATGATGTTTAACAAATAATTTACTTCTAATGTTGTTTGTCTAGTGTTTGTGTTTTCATATTTATTCTAGGCAAACAACGAGTTGGAGGATGGATGGAATAGAGCCTCAACGATTATATCCAATGGAGGTTGGCGGAATTGTGGAGTGAAGCTTATGCCATTCAAGTTCAAGATTCAAGTTCAGCTTCATCCGCATAATGTACCAAGTCGAGCTTATTGAAGATCAAGATCATAGCTTGGGTAATTTAGTTTAGGTGTTATATTATGTGTGTTAAGTACGTTAAGCTCAATATCATATATCACACACATTTTATTGGTTTCCTTGTATATATATATAGTCATATATATATATACAACACAAGTTTTGGTTTTTTTGTTTATAAATATGAAATTACATATTTTATATTTATTATTGTGTTTAAGAATTTATTGCATAGAATATGCAATTTTATGAAAATATTGTATTATTAGTTTTTGGACTTAACAACAATCATATACATATTTTATTAAGTCTACATAATTATTGTGCAAAGTTTCAAAACATGGTTTAGCCAAAATATCAAAATTCATATGTTTACCATATGTCTCAAATTATAGATAATTAATATTAACCCCGGTCTATGTATGAAAAGAAATACAACTGGCCTACATCTCACAAGAAATCATACCTAGCCAAGAAACGAGGTCATATAACTAGCCATCCTATAACAGGTCACTGGTTCACATCTCACACAGAGTCAACGCTCATATCATCGGATAACTGGCTGTTCACAAATCCCCTACGTGCATCCAATACCTCTACACAAACTCGGTCAACGGACTACACGCAATATGTTTTTAGCTTGGTTCGAACTCAAACTAAACTCGGGTGAATATCAAAATCACGGATCAAAGTGACTACACAAACTTCACTTTGACCCAACAAACCAATCTCAGTGCTACACAAACTCACTAGTGCAGCCTGGAAGATACATCAATAGCCACATCCGAACACATGAACAATGACTTCCCCATCCTAACTCTTTTCGTTTTTCTAAATCAACAGTCAAATTCCACAATATCTCTGGTTCACCACCTAAACTCAGTCAACACACCCACACATGTCACTAGGTCTGTTCATGACACACGAGGCCACTAAGTCATGAACTACTAAGGTTCTCAAACACAACAAGGAGATAATAATAAAATTTCACGCAACCACATCATGACATGTCGAATACAGTAAAATATTCACAAAACATGAAATGTAATCATGAACAACAACTATATAATTCAGAAAATAATTCGTTTTCCAAAATAATTTCTTTTAAAATTATTTCTCATTATTATTCTAAAATAATTCTTTTTCTCAAAATAAATTCTTTTAAATATTATAAATTTTCTAAAATGATTTTGTTATCAAAATAAATTCCTTCACTTTATTATCATTATTCTAAAAATACTGTTAATCACACAACTATATTTTAAATTAATATTATTCACCAAATAACCCACACAGATAAATAGGTTACAAATAACTATGCAAATAATTCATAATAAATATAAATATTCAAACTACGAAACAGGGAGAGCGGGATCTTGCCTCGGGTATTGTCGAACGAAACGATGTCAACGTGCGTGCACAGTAAATGAGGTCGCAAACATATATATAAATAACATAATATATCATGATAAGTATTCACGCAAATACTTTCAATCAAAGTAAGGTAGTTGTCATAAAAAAAAATTTCGTAATTTTTTAAATATACGTATTTAACGTCCTCACTTATTCTAGAAATTCCTATCGGACTCTATACATGAATCCTAGGAAACTCTATTCTACCTCCACGACTCAACACAGGATGATCCTAAGGATACTGGAACTAGAGCTCTGATACCAACTGTGACGCCCCTGTTTTCACACTTGGCTGCAGTCCAAGGTGAACCCAGAGATGTCAAACCTGTCATGCACCTCCACTGTGCAACAACATGTTTCACCAATCACAGTAATATCCTCTAGTGGAAACCAATATAAATGAAGGTACAAAACAGGCAAATAAGGGAAATAAATACTATAGACATGATACGGAAAGATATATCTCATAAATGAAATCATGTCCCAAATAAACTAAACTGGAATACAACTGATATACATCTGGAGTCTAAAATAACATGATATGTCTCAACATGAATCGATTAGAAATCGTACTAAGGCATATTGCCTTAACAATATGAGTACAAACTCAAATGACTAAATGGAAACATAAGATCACTGTGGAGTCCATACTAGTAAAAATACGCGACGGCGACTATGCAAGAACTCCGTCACCCTGCGACTCTCCGATGCTCTGAGCCGCCTGAAATGAGAAATAAAATAAAAGAAAAAGAACAACAACAAGAGCGTCAGAGCGCTACAGCAAGTTCACCTCCATCCGCCCCCAGGGGAAGGGCTGCTAGATGATGAAGTGGAGGCTCTATCTATTAAGCATAGTCTACCTAGATCATTTTCCCTGTATCTAATGGAATTAATATTTAGAAACTTACAACTTGAGACGTAGTACGTCGAGCGAAATAATCCAAACAAGGAAACCCTCATGTATATACCGTATGTCTCAGGTAGTAAATAACTAAATATTAACCCTGAACTAAGCAATCAAAATATAACTGGAAAGTAAAGCATCATAATAGACATCAGCATATGTATCTCGTGTACTCGTATAGCAAAGTATCTCAACAATGAGTAGAAACACTTTTGGCATCCGCCAAATACTCATGTAAATAGTTTATAATATTATCATTCTGAACTTCTTCCAACTCATCGCATCATCGTGCGGATCGACAAATAGGTATCATCGCATCATAGTGCGGATCGACAAATATGTATCATCGCATCATAGTGCGGATCAACAAATATGTATCATCGCATCATAGTGCGGATCGACAAATATGTATCATCGCATCATAGTGCGGATCGACAAATAGGTATCATCGCATCACCGTGCGGATCGACAAATAGGTATCATCGCAGTCTTATTTGCGGTGTACTAACTCACAAGTAAATAGATCTCAATTCGTCATAATCCCCGTGGGATACTCAAATGCGTATTTCGTCATATTCATGACTGTAAGTATAACATCGAGCGGCTCAAACTCCGCGATAGCGTCATAAAACGGCGCAAACAAACTCCAGAAAATAAAACTAGGCCAAACTGTCCAGTAAATGGTCAGGATTACCAACCCCGACTATCTGCTGTATTAACTAATTGTGAATAGTAGTAGTACTTACTAATAGCAACAGTACTTTACGACTAGTATTTGTACTCATGAATAGTAACAGTACATATGAATAGTACCGTATGCATGAATAGTAACAGTATGTATAAATAGTATCCATACGTATGAATAGTGTCAGTACTTATGAATAGTGTCGTATGTATGAACAATAACAGCACGTATGAATAGTACCACAATATGTATGAATAGTAACGGTATTTATGAATAGTACCGTACATATGAATAGTGCCGTACGTATGAATAGTATGGTATTTATGAATAGTACCACAGTATGTATGAATAGTACTCATGAATAGTACCGTACATATGATAGTAACAGTTTTTATGAATAGTACCGTATGTATGAATAGTATCATACGTATAAAATAGTAACAGTATTTCCAGCGGTAGACATGTACGTATAGTTCTAGCTAGCAATATCATGTCTTTAGGAATTTAGTCTTATATTCTATTCATCAATTTTCATCAATATCAAGTCTTTTCTTCAATATCATGTATATTCATCAATTTTTATCAATATCATGTCTTTTCATCAATATCATGTATATTCATCAATATCATGTATATTCATCAATTTTTATCAATATCATGTTTTTTCATCAATATCATATATATTCATCAATATCATGTATATTCATCAAGATCAAAATTTACTGGGGATGGGTTTGGAAAGAGATGAACTTGCCTTTATTGAACTCTGAAATTGGAATCCCTATCCGTTCCTACTTTTCGAATTGCCAAAATCCTCTTCTTCTTTCCCTTTCTTTTCTTCCTCTCTCTCTCTCTCTCTCTCTCTCTCTTCTTTCTCTCTCTTTCTCTCTCGTTGAGTGTGTGCAGAGAGTGAGGAGCTCTGTCCCTTTTTATAGAGAGATGAGGGTAGGGGGTAGGTGGCACAGTGTGAGGAGTTGGTGGCACAGGAAAAAGAGAGAAAAAATATATATATAATATTTTATATTATTTTTAAAAATAGGATTTCAGACTCTATTCTCAGAAATCATCAAAAATTTACCCATAGCACCGTCTCATCATTCTAAGATCAATGGTGTAAACCTCATGTCCATATGATCAATATAAAAATTATTAAAAATACAAATACGATAGATGTCAGTAGACGCGATACTGTCTCAAAATAGTGTTTCAGTCTCCGTCGTCAGAACTCAATGAAACTTTACCCACAACAAAGGAAACCCTCACATATACATCTCGTACCATTAATCTCTAGATATGAAATAAAAAATATCTACACTCAACAATGTAGAATGTAAATACTCTCACTTAACCCCTAATTAAGCGAAACTAGTACGTCGGGTGAAAAATCCAAACAAGGAACCCCCCATATATATACCATGTGTTCCGAATGATTAGGAGCTAAGTGTTAATACCCTTATTCTAGCATTAAATATAAATATGACCATATAAATAATCATAAACACAAACAAGTCATAATCAATTAATTTTACCTGCTCAAACAGGTGTGGGTAGTCGCGATGCATATCCTCTTCGCGCTCCCAAGAAGCCTCCTCAGCTCCTTTCCAGTTCCATTGAACTTTAACTAAAGGAATCACCTTATTTCTTAGTCTCTAGTCCTCTCTAGCAAGGATGCAAACTGGCACCTCAATGGTGGACAAATCTGTCTGAATCTCGATCTCAGATGTATCAATCACCCTCCGCTGCTCCTCGTCGCGTAGGTGCTTCTTAAGCATCGACACATGAAATACATCGTGCACACTTGACATCGATGCTGGAAGATCTAATCTATATGAAACCGCTCCAACACGCTTGGTAATCCGAAATGGTCCAACATATCTCGGGGCAAGTTTTCCTCGTCTTCCAAATCGCTTAACGCCCTTCATTGGTGATACTTTTAACATAACAAAATCTCCAACCTGAAACTCCAAAGGTCGTCGTCTTTGATCTGCGTAGCTCTTTTGCCGACTCTGAGCGGCAAGAATACGCTCCCTAATCAATGCTACCTTCTCAACAGTCTGCCTCACAAGCTCTGGCCCAAGCAATAAGCTATCCTCCGACTCTGCCCAACAAATCGGGGATCTACAGGGTCTCCCGTACAATGCCTCATACGGAGCCATACCAATCGTCGCTTGATAATTGTTGTTATAAGCGAACTCGATCAAAGGTATGTGGTCCTCCCAGATGCCCTGGAAGTCTAAAATGCAAGCTCGCAACATGTCCTCCGAGACTTGGTTTACTCTCCCCGTCTGCCCATCTATCTGCGGGTGAAATACACTGCTGTATGATAATCTGCTACCAAACGAATCCTGAAAGCTCCTCCTAAAATACGAAGTGAAAACTGAGCCTCGATCTGACACGATCGTCTCTGGAACTCCATGTAGTCGAACTATCTCCCGAATGAAGATTCTCGCATAAGTCTCGGCGGTGTAGGTAGTTCTCACTGGTATAAAATATGCTGACTTCGTCAACCGATCAACTATCACCCAAATAGAATTGTTTCCTTTCTTTGACCTCGGTAACCCCACAATGAAATCCATAGAGATACACGTCCATTTCCATTCCGGAATGGGTAAAGGCTGTAGGGTTCCTGCTGGTCTCTGATGTTCTGCCTTCACCTGCTGACAGGTAAAGCATCTAGCGACATATTCTGCTATCTCCTTACGCATGCCGCTCCACCAAAAGTGTCTCTTCAGGTCCTTGTACATCTTTGTTGTGCCTGGATGCACTGTGTACCTAGAACGATGCGCTTCATCAAGCAACTCCTTCTTCAGCTCTGCACTAGCTAGCATAACTAATCTGCCTTTCATTCGAAGGCCTCCGTCTATTCCAACGGTCCAATCAGCTTTGGGCTCCTTGGAAATCTCCTCCTTTCGGGTTTGAATCTAAGAGTCCGCTAGCTAAGCTTTGACCACTCTATTACTCCAAGATGACTGCACTGACATAGTTCCCAAAAATGCGCTGCTCCCGCAGGTCTCTGGCCTGAAATCAAACTGGCTAAGAGTGTAAAGATCTCGGTACAACGAACACCTCAAAGCCATAACCCGATGTTGACGCTTCCTGCTCAAAGCGTCAGCCACGACGTTCGCCTTCCCTGGATGGTACTGAATCGCGAACTCATAATCCTTGATGAACTTGACCTATCACCGCTGCCTCTGGTTGAGTTCCTTCTGAGAAAATAGGTATTTCAGGCTCTGGTGGTCTGTGAATAACTCGAACTGCACCCCGTACAGGTAATGTCTCCATGTCTTCAGTGCGAAGACCACAGCTGCTAACTCCAAGTCGTGCGTAGGATAGTTCTGCTCATGCGTCCTTAACTGTCGAGAGCTACAAGCTACTACTCTTTAGGTCTACATCAAAACGGCTCCTAGGCCTACTAATGACGCATCTGTGTAGACAACAAATGTCCTATCACTGCTCGGAATAGTCAAAACCGGTGCTGTAGTTAACTTTGTCTTTAATGTCTCAAAAGCCTTCTGGCACTCTGTGTCCCAAATGAACTGTACACCCTTTTTCGTAAGGCGTGTAAGTGGCGTCGCAATCTTCGAGAAGTCCTGAATGAATTTCCTGTAATAGCCAGCTAAACCCAAGAAGCTACGAATCTCTGTGACGGTCTTTGGCGGCTCCCATTCTAGTACTGCCTCAACCTTCGTCCGGATCTACTGCAATGCCCTCTCTACTGATGACGTGGCCTAAAAATCTAACCTCTGATAGCCAGAATTTGCACTTGCTGAACTTGGCGTATAACTGATGCTCCTGCAAGGTCTGTAATGTCAATCGTAGATGCTGCTCGTGCTCTGCCTCCGATCTCGAATAGATAAGGATATCGTCGATAAATACAATCACGAACTGGTCCAAGTATGGACGAAAAAACCGATTCATCAAATCCATGAATACTGCGGGTGCATTGGTCAGCCCAAATGGCATGACGAGAAATTCAAAGGACCCATATCGAGTCAGAAAGGCGGTCTTGGGAATATCCATCTCCCGGACTCGTAACTGATGATAGCCAGAATGAAGATCAATCTTAGAAAAATAATGCGCTCCTTGTAGCTGGTCGAACAAGTCATCAATCCTCGGTAATGGGTACCTATTTCGGATGGTGACCTTGTTCAACTCACGATAATCGATACATAATCGCATACTACCGTCCTTCTTTTTCACGAAAAGGACTGGTGCTCCCCATGGAGAATGACTCCGACGAATAAAGCCCTGAGATAACAACTCATCCAACTGGGTCTATAGCTCCCTCATCTCAGCAGGTGCCATACGATAGGGTGCTCGGGATATCGGTACTGTGCCCGGCTGCAACTCGATGCAGAACTCAACCTCTCTCATAGGAGGTAATCTAGGTATGTCGTGAAAGACATCCTGATAATCAGAGACAACTCTAGTCTCACACAAATCAGCACTCTGGTCCCTCAGCATCACCTCCTCGACGTATGCCAGAAGAGACTCCGCAAACTGGTTGCCCTGTGAAGTCGCTACGATCAACTCAGACCCATCGGACGCTCGTAAGTTGACTGTCTTAGCGAAACAGTCGATACTAACATGTAGGATGAAAGCCAATCCATACCGAGAATGACGTCGAACTCCGACATCCGCAACACGATCAGATCTATAAGAAACTCGGACTCATCTAAACTGATGACACAGCTCCTACAGATACTCTCTAATATGGATATCTCCCCTAGAGGAGTAGAGATGGATAGTGGTACGTTTAAAGGATGTGCAACTAACTGAAGCCTATCCATGAAGGTATGAGAAATAAAAGAATGCGAAGCTCCAGAATCGAACAAGATCCGAGCCGGAAAGGAATTCACAAGAAAGATACCTTCCACTATGGCTCCGCTCGCACCCTGATCATGTGGTATGACCGCATAAACCCTGCCGGTGGCTGGTAACTGTTGAACTGGTGGTGGTGGAGCATACGGGGCCATCTGTGCCTCAGGAATCTCCTGGATAGCACGTATTTGGCCTGTTGGCCCCTCAATCCTCGGAATGACAGGTGGTGCCTCGATCCTCCGCTGCTGCTGACCGTAGGCGCGGCCCTGCTGCTGCTGCTGGCCCTGACCATGATTCTGCTGCTGACCGTGTCCTCGACCTTGCTGCTGGCCTCCTCTTGGTGCGCTACGGCACTCTGCTGCTCTGTGTCCAAATTTCTGACAGTTGTGGCATGTCCCCTGAAATTTGTGTTGCTGCTGCCTCCTCTGATCCTGCGGTGGTCTTCTCTTGAACTGTCCTTGCTGCTGATGCTGAAAATCATTACCCTATTGCTGGGGTCCTCCAGGTCCGGCAAAAGGTCTCTTACCCTTGCCCTTATCCCTGGTCTGTCCTGCTTTAGCATTTCCTTCCTTGTCTTTCTGGAACATAGTCATCTCGGTCTCCTGAGAAATGGCGGCATTAGCTACCTCTCGAACTGAGTGAAACCTCCTGGAAACGAGGTATCGACGAAGGCTAGGACGTAGCCCCGCTAGAAACATCTGTGCTTGGCGTTCTCCGGTCTGTCACATGCCCGTAAAGTGAAGCAGACTCATAAACTTGCTTTCGTAATCAGCTACGGTCATGTCTCCCTGCGTTAATCTGGACAGCTCAAGTTCCTTCCCGGCCCGTGCCGCGGAAGAGATGTATTGCTCATCAAAGAAGTATACAAAATCCTCCCAAGTGAGAGTCATCCGGTGCTCTGGGGTAAACTGAAGTCGATACCATCCTCCGGCATCACCCTTAAGGCTGTAAGCTGCTAGCCTCTGCCTTTGCACTGAATTTACACCAAGTAAGTCTAGTATGTTACTCACATCCTCCTTCCATTTATGAGCTGCAAGTGAATCTGATGACCCCTGAAACTCTGGTGCCCTCATCTTCTTATACCGCTCTACTAAACGGAGCCAAGCCTCCTGCTCTGCTGCTTGCCCTATAGCTGGTGGTGGTGTAATCCCTGGTGTGATCTCTGGGGTCTCCTCCGAGATGGGAATGACTGGAATCACCGGTGGTGGTGTAACTGGCTGAACATGATTCGTCATCTGCTCCTTGAGTGCTGTTAACATAGTTGTTATAGGTGCCATGAGGTCAATAAGGTACTGCGAAGACTGCTGCGGCTCTGGTGGGGCCTGCTGCTGCGCGGTTGGAGCATGCTGCGGCTCTGGCTCCTCTTGCTTATCTCTCCTTGTACGAGGCCTACCACGTCCGCGTCCTTGTCCCGCCATCTAAAGTTCAGGCAGATGGTTTATAAGACACAGTATTGAGACCTCAGGTGAAAACATATTTAATAATAAATTATTCATGAAAATACTTTTAAATCAAAGTAAGGTAGTCAAAAAAAAATTAATAATAAATTATTCATGAAAATACTTTTAAATCAAAGTAAGGTAGTCAAAAAAAAATCCAAAATTTTTGAGATATACGCATATATCGTCCTCACTCATTCTAAGAAATTCTTATCGAACTCTATACATGAATCCTAGGAAACTCTATTCTACCTCCACGACTCAACACAGGATGATCCTAAGGATACTGGAACTAGATCTCTGATATCAACTGTGACGACCCTGTTTTCACACTTGGCTGCAGTCCAAGGTGAACCCAGAGATGTCAAACCTGTCATGCACCTCCACTGTGCAACAACATGTTTCATCAATTACAGTAATATCCTCTAGTGGAAACCAATATAAATGAAGGTACAAAACAGGCAAATAAGGGAAATAAATACTATAGACATGATACGGAAAGATATATCTCATAAATGAAATCATGTCCCAAATAAACTAAACTGGAATACAACTGATATACATCTGGAGTCTAAAATAACATGATATGTCTCAACATAAATTGATTAGAAATCGTACTAAGGCATATTGCCTTAACAATATGAGTACAAACTCAAATGACTAAATGGAAACATAAGATCACTGTGGAGTCCATACTAGTAAAAATACGCGACGGCGACTATGCAAGAACTCCGTCACCCTGCGACTCTCCGATGCTCTGAGCCGCCTGAAATGAGAAATAAAATAAAAGAAAAAGAACAACAACAAGAGCGTCAGAGCGCTACAGCAAGTTCACCTCCATCCGCCCCCAGGGGAAGGGCTGCTAGATGATGAAGGGGAGGCTCTATTTATTAAGAATAGTCTACCTAGATCATTTTCCCTGTATCTAATGGAATTAATATTTAGAAACTTACAACTTGAGACGTAGTACGTCGAGCGAAATAATCCAAACAAGGAAACCCTCATGTATATACCGTATATCTCAAATTGTAAATAACTAAATATTAAAATAGACATCAGCATATGTATCTCGTGTACTCGTATAGCAAAGTATCTCAACAATGAGTAGAAACACTTTTGGCATCCGCCAAATACTCATGTAAATAGTTTATAATATTATCATTCTGAACTTCTTCCAACTCATCGCATCATCGCGCGGATCGACAAATAGGTATCATCGCATCATAGTACGGATCGATAAATAGGTATCATCACATCATAGTGCGGAACGACAAATATGTATCATCGCATCATAGTGCGGATCGACAAATATGTATCATCGCATCATAGTGCGGATCAGCAAATATGTATCATCGCATCATAGTGCGGATCGACAAATATGTATCATCGCATCACCGTGCGGATCGACAAATATGTATCATCGCAGTCTCATTTGCGGTGTACTAACTCACAAGTAAATAGATCTCAATTCGTCATAATCCCCGTGGGATACTCAAATGCGTATTTCGTCATATTCATGACTGTAAGTATAACATCGAGCGGCTCGAACTCCGCGATAGCGTCATAAAACGGCGCAAACAAACTCCAGAAAATAAAACTGGGCCAAACTGTCCAGTAAATGGTCAGGATTACCAACCCCGACTATCTGCTGTATTAACTAATTGTGAATAGTAATAGTACTTACTAATAGCAATAGTACTTTACGACTAGTATCCGTACTCATGAATAGTAACAGTACATATGAATAGTACCGAGTACTTTACGACTAGTATCCGTACTCATGAATAGTAACAGTACATATGAATAGTACCGTATGCATGAAGAGTAACAGTATGTATAAATAGTACCCATACGTATGAATAGTGTCAGTACTTATGAATAGTGTCGTATGTATGAACAATAACAGTACGTATGAATAGTAACGGTATTTATGAATAGTACCGTACATATGAATAGTGTCGTACGTATGAATAGCATGGTATTTATGAATAGTACCACAGTATGTATGAATAGTACTCATGAATAGTACCGTACATATGAATAGTAACAGTATTTATGAATAGTACCGTATGTATGAATGGTATCATACGTATAAAATAGTAACAGTATTTCCAACGGTAGACATGTACATATAGTTCTAGCTAGCAATATCATGTCTTTAGGAATTTAGTCTTATATTCTATTCATCAATTTTCATCAATATCAAGTCTTTTCTTCAATATCGTGTATATTCATCAATTTTTATTAATATCATGTCTTTTCATCAATATCATGTATATTCATCAATTTTTATCAATATCATGTTTTTTCATCAATATCATGTATATTCATCAATATCATGTATATTCATCAATATTAAAATTTACTGGGGATGAGTTTGGAAAGAGATGAACTTGCCTTTATTGAACTCTGAAATTGGAATCCCTATCCGTTCCTACTTTTCGAATTGCCAAAATCCTCTTCTTCTTTCCCTTTCTTTTCTTCCTCTCTCTCTCTCTATCTCTCTCTCTTCTTTCTCTCTCTTTCTCTCTCGTTGAGTGTGTGCAGGATGAGGGCTCTGTCCCTTTTTATAGAGAGATGAGTGATAGAGGTGGCACAGTGTGAGATGGGCACAGGAAAAGAGAGGAGGTATATATATAATAATATATTATATATATATATTATATATATATATTATACTATATATTATATATGATAATATTTTGCTTCTTTCGACTTCTATCTATGTCGTGATGGTATGAGAGCAAATATGTCCAAGGAAAGAAATATCTTGGATACTCCAGCACATGCTTGGACTTCAGAACTTGCCGGAAGTTTTTTATCTGGTATTAATTACCTAAAGCTATGCTGACTGCATAAGCCGAAGCTATTGGTAATGGCTTGAAACAACCTCTCTAATCGTTCTGATCCATGCGATTCTGAACGGCACTATCGGGCGACCATTCTGCCAGCATATTAACCACACCTCACTGCCACAGATAATTGGACGATAGCTCATATTATCAAAACTCTCCAGCCTGGCATGTTGATTACCATGCCTTTTACCAATAATCCAGTCATATCTCCAAATATTCAAAGTTACTGGCGCTACGGCATGCACCGCCTGGCATTTGGCTACCAATGCAATGGAAATTTACATTTTGCCGTCAGCATTGGGATTCAAAGTAAGGTTCTCATACCCAAAGATTTTGCATCTTATCAAACTGTGGTCTGGTTTCCCTTCCTCTAACCTTAAGATGGCTTGTTGCTTAATTAAAATGTTCTTACAATAGATTAGCCACTAGGCGACAGACTGTCCACGATTTGCGAATCAGCATCAAGCTGCTGAAGTGTGTGCTCTGGTCTGGTGCGAATTGAGGTCAAGAGCATCATCTATTTTTCCAATTTCCTTTCATTGCATATATCTGCGAAGCTCTGCAAACTCAAACTTCAGCTTTGATGCGCCTACGGTAATAAATGACGCATTAGAACGAAGCCTACATATTTCAATCCAAGTTCAAGAGAAAAGCACAGACGGTATAAACTGTCAAGAATGCTGTTTTAAGATGCAGTGTCTCGGCCACATATGGCAGAAAGCGAATAGACGTGATCATTCCATTGCTTCCCAACTACACAAGGTCATGTGGTTTAGGCGATCTATATGACCTGACATAAATGTTTTTGCTCTAGAACCTGCCATATGAGAAGACTGGTAACAATACTATCCTTGCAAATTGGGAATCAGCCGAGCATCTGTAAAAGTTTCGCGTTTTTACAGCACGTTCTGGAGATAGGTGGTTTTGATAAATGTGTTCTGTCTTGCCTTTATGCTATGGCCTTCTTGGTCGTCAATCAGGATTCTTGCTAGCGCGTCTTTAGTTGAGCGGTGACGCCATGGTCCTCTCGCCCTCTCTACTAGTTTCTGTAGTTTAGAAATCCTGAGTACGCACTAGCCAATTCTGTAACTATATGCTACTGGAGTTTTATTTAATAGACAATTTCTTATTTTCAAAAAAAAAAAAAAAAAAAAAAATATATAATTATATATTTATATATATTTTTTTAAAAATAGGATTTCAGACTCTATCTCAGAAATGCATCAAAAAATTTACCCATAGCACCGTTCTCATCATTCTAAGATCCC